GACCGTGAATTGCATTCTATACCTACGATGAAGAGAACCCAAGGACCCATCATTGAATTGTCTTCATCTCTATGTGTGCAGAGAATGTTGATGACATGAGCATGTTTAAGAAATCATGACTATATATGTTTAACTTACTGTATTCATTTGGGTCTGCAGAAGAACCCTTGATAGAGCTTAATTATAGCTAGATTTCTTGGGTAGTTTGATTAGGACTAAGAGATATAGATGGCTAAAAACATCTGAATGATGAAGAAATCTGGCAGGGACATGAAGAGTCCATTTAAGCCAAGCTTTCACATGGAAGATGATCGACTGTGAAACTTGGGATATTTTGGTGGTGCATTAATTTCAAAGAACAAGATAATTGGTTGTCTTTGTTGACAACTCTTCCGGAAAGGATGAAAAAGAAAAGACCAGAGGAAAAGCAAAGGAGATGAAGAATGTAAGAAATGGACAAGGCAGAGGTGAATAAAATAGCTAGTGCGTGATAACCATTTGTGGGAAGACTATCCCCTAGAACGCTAAAGCATCTGCCGGGCTAGATACAGATAGGCTTAATAGCCCTTGTCCAACAGCCTCAAGCATCTACAAACAAGGTTCAAAGTATGGATACACGACACACCCTAGGGGTTTAACTCACACATTTCTTTCTTTTTTTTTTTTCAAAATTTTACATGGCCCCGGCCGTCTTACCAATGCCCACCCCTGAAAAATATATTAGGATATTTTGAACCTTGTTTGGAAAGGCTTCTTCTTATAAATGAGATGAGAGCCATCTCTGTCCTAATAATTCACTAGGCAAGGCAGGTATCAACTATGTGGTAGGGTCAATGCGTACTTAATTGCCAGGACCAATAATGTCAGCGTCACTTTGAACTCTCTTCTTTTGAAAATTTGTTTAATTTGCGCTCTGATATCTATCTATCTATCTCCATTTAAGGTTGAGCATGATCAATTACGCAACGTTTTTGCCGGTTTATGCAAGGAACGTTTTCGTTAAACACATGCCCTGTTTGGGCATTTATTTGGTGTATGGATTAATTTGTAACCGCATCCATAAATGGAAAAGGAATGTATTAAACTTTTGAGAAGATTCAACTAGATTGGTTCACACTTCACAAAGCAAGTATTTCTTTGATCCAGATGGCAATGGAAAAGTGGCGGAGACCAGACAATGGAAACCATCACCCAGTGAGTTACTTGCGAATGTGTGAGCGTTGATGGTGTCATGGTCATGCTTTGGGTGAAGTGGGGAGCGATGGTGCAAAGGTGGTGTCTTAGTCAGTTAGGAGGTTAGATAAGTTGTTACAAGTGGCAGCCCACTTGTCCAGCTGTATTGTTATGGGTTATGTACGTGTATAAATATTTAACATCACAAGAAATGATCATGCTCAGTTTTCTTTTTCTTCCCAATCACACCCGCAACCTTTATTACTGTCGCTTCATCATCGCACAAACACCTATTGCGATAAAGCTAGCACCCTTTATCACTTGCGATAATCTCATTGCCTCTACGATAAAGTTTACATGGTATCAGAGCCTGTCTGATCCTGGAATCATCCTTGACCGAAACTCATGGCTGTCGGAGGTTACATAATCGACAGTCTTTCTGATCCCAAATCACCATATTACTTACATCCCTCAGACCATTTTGGAGTGGTGCTGATTTCTTTTCTCCTCAATGGAGAAAACTACCCGATCTGGAAAAGGGCAATGTCCAATGCCCTGTTATCCAAGAACAAGCTGGCCTTCGTCGATGGATCCCTCAAGAAACCAGACGAATCTTCACCTGATTTGTTTGCATGGAGGAAATGCAATTCCTTGGTCATCACCTGGCTCTTCAACTCATTTGCACGGGATCTTCACGACAACGTAGCATATGTGGACTGCGCTGTTGATATCTAGCGTGATTTTGAAGAAGGATTTTCTCAAGGGAACGCCCCTCGAATCTTTCATCTCAGACGAGAGTTGACCTTAATCAGGCAAGATAATTTGTCAATTTCTACCCATTTCACTAAATTGAAGTCTTTATGGGATGAGCTCTCTGTTTATGTCCCAATTCCAATTTGCACCTGTGGAGCAATGAAAGAATCTGTGGCTGATAAAGAACAAGAAAAGGTATTTCAGTTTCTTCTTGGATTAAATGATTGCTACAATACTATCCGATCCAACATCTTGAGCTTGGATCCACTACCGAGCATCAATCGGGTTTATGCAATGGTCATTCAAGAAGAAAAGTATCAAACATTTGTGAGCCGATGAACTCCCCAGATAAAAGCAACAACATTGCACGTTGGGAGCACCTCAACCAACTCTCAAGCTCAACATAATCAAGGGCGTTCCAAGCTGAAATTCGACCACTACAAATGCACTGGTCACACAAAAGATATATGTTATGAGTTGGTTGGATACCCAGCCGATTGGGTGTCACGAGGAAAGAAGAAACATAACCCTCGTCCTTCTTCCTCCTCTGCTCAGGCTGCCTCAACTGAAGCGGGATCATCCTCATTAGTGAGTCTCACAGTTGAACAATATCAACAGTTGATGGATTTGCTGAACTCCAATAGTGGTAAACGCCCTAATTCGTCCAATTTTGCTGGTAAGGCCACTGAACTCCAAAGCATTCTTGAAAATAAATGGACATGGATAGTTGTTAGTGGTGCATCGGACCACATGACCTTCCTAAGGTCCTCTGCATTTGAAAATCACAATGATGTGAGACCTATACAACTTCCAAATGGCACCAGAGTGCCGGTGGAATCTCAGACATCGGTGAATCTACCATCAGGCATCAAGTTATCAAACATGTTATGCCTACCAAATTTCCATTGTAATCTTTTATCAGTTAGTAAGTTGACTGCTAACATGAATTGTATTGTCATCTTCTTCTTGACTTTCTGTGTGATACAGGACCCTGACCCACAAGAAGTCGATTGGTGTGGGTAAACTTCACAATGAACTGTACGTGTTTTCAGATCGTCAATCATAGGCAAACCACACTGCATCTGTCCCGCCCAACACACAGACATGGCATTATTAACTGGGTCATGCTTCATATGATCGTCTCTCTCTCATACAATGGTTACATATTCCACATTCAAATAAAGACTGTTGTAATGCTTGTAATAAGGCCAAAATGACATGAGTACCTTTTCCTGTGCGACAAGCTAGATCTAATTCTTGTTTTGATATCATTCATTGTGACATTTGGGGGGGATATCGTACCCCGTCACTGTCTGGTGCTCATTATTTCTTGACAGTTGTTGATGATTGTTCACGTGCTACCTGAGTTTTCCTACTCAAACATAAATCTGAAGCAACCACTTACTTGCAACAATTTTGTGTTTATGTTAATATTCAATTTCAAACATCAGTTCGTTGCATTCGTTGAGATAATGGGCTTGAGTTTTGTTCAGGTCCAATGAATTCCTTCTATGCTTCCCATGGCATTAAACATCAAAGAATCTGTGTTGACACACCCCAACAAAATGGGGTGGCTGAACGAAAACACAAGCACCTATTAGAGATGGCATGTGCTCTCCGATTTCATGTGGGACTTCCTATCACCTTTTGGGGAGAATGCATATTGACAACAGCCTACTTGGTCAACCACTTACCAACTCCATTGCTATTCGTGAAATCTCCTTATGAGGTACTGTTTGGAAAACAACCAAGTTATGAGTATTTGCGTGTATTTGGGTGCCTATGTTATACTCAGGTCCATGGTCATAACAAATTCTCTCCAAGGTCCACAAAATGTGTATTTCTTGATTACCCACATTGCCAGAAATGATACCGAGTCTACAATTTATGCTCAGTTCTATGAAGATCAATTCCCATTTGTTCATAGTGATAGAATAACAAATTCTAAGACAAAAAATGTAATGGGATACATTGAACCCAACCCAATCATTTTGGATGAAACATGGGGAAATTCCAGAACTAGACCCATGGTTGATACCCATGTTGAACATGTCAAGCAGAACCACACATCATAGCCTGAACACATTGAAGCATCCCAACCTGATCAACATCAAGATGAAATCCCAATTGCACCTTCTAGGCCCAACACTAGGCCCATGAGAACCACTCGGATTCCCAAACATTTTCAGGACTATGTGTGTCCAACATTAACCTCCCCTCATTCCTCTACAGCCCATCCATTAATTGGCCTTGTCATATTACAACCCAATGCCTTTACAACTTCATTACTCCAAGTATGTGAACCCAAGTCCCATGCTCAAGCAGTCTCAGATCCAAAGTGGTATGAAGCTATGGATGCTGAATTAGAAACACTTAACAGAAACCAGACTTGGACCCTCATCGATCCACCACTAGATAAACATCCCATTGGATGCAAATGGGTGTACAAAATCAAACTTAAACCTGATGGTACTGTGGATCGTTACAAAGTCAGGTTAGTAGCCAAGGGCTATAACCAAACTGAAGGGATTGATTACAGTGAGACGTATGCTCCTGTTGCAAAACTTGCTACAGTACGATGCCTCCTGTCCATTGCTGCTGTATGCAATTGGGAATTGCATCAAATGGACGTGAATAATGCATTCCTTCATGGAGATCTACACAAAGAAGTGTATATGTACCTACTTCCTGGACTACTCAAAGATGGTGATACCCATGTGTGCAAACTACAACGGTCTCTGTATAGGCTCAAACAAGCCTCAAGACAATGGTTTGAAAAACTTGCCACAACCCTCTGAAACAGTGGATTTAGTGCATCGAATGCATACTGTACATTGTTCACATCCTCCACCCAAAATAATTTTGTGGCCGTGCTTATCTATGTTGATGGCCTTGTGATCATAGGGACAGATCTCACTCAGATAGCAGCCCTTAAAGGGTACCTTGGGTCATGTTTTCACATCAAGGGTTTAGGTCCCCTCCACTATTTTCTAGGGATTGAAGTCACACGAACCACAAAAGGCATACACCTATGTCAAAGGAAGTAAACACTTGATATTCTTCAAGGTGTAAGCATGACAGGCTGCAAGCCTAGCACCCTTCCTATGCTTCAACAACAACATTTGGCCCTTGCCTTAGGACCTTTGTTAATTGGTGCAGCTCAATATAGAAGACTAGTTGGAAGGTTGGTCTATCTAACAATCACACGCCCAGGCATAACATTTGTCGTTAATGTTCTGACTCAGTTTATGAGTGCTCCATGGCAAGATCATTGGGATGTAGCCATTCATGTTCTTCGATATTTGAAAAACACAGTTTCTCATGGGATTCTCTTGTCTGCAACAAGCAACTTGATTCTTAAGGCCTATTGTGACTCCGATTGGGCTGGTTGCCCAGTTAGTAGGCGGTCAACCACAGGCTACATTACAATGCTGGGTGCCTCCCCTTTATCTTGGAAACCAAAGAAACAAACCACTGTTTCAAGGTCTTCTGCAGTAGAATATCGAGCTATGATAGCCTCCACAAGTGAACCTCTATGGCTGAAGTGATTATTTGCTGATTTAGGGCTGCAACACATTCTACCCATGCAACTACATTGTGACAACAAAGCTGCGATACACATAGCCAATAACCCAGTTTTTCATGAAAGGACCAAGCACATTGAAATTGACTGTCAATTTGTGCACTACCACATTCAATCGCATGCTATTTCCACCCGTCATATCTCCTCTAAGACTTAACCAATAGACGTTTTCACCAAAGCCCTTGGAGGAGATCACTTTCATTCCTTGTTACCCAAGTTGGGCATGTCTCTCCATAATCAAAACCATGTCCAACTTGAGGGGGAGTCTTACAAGGAAGTAGTTATGAAAGTCAGTCAGGAGGTTAGAGAAGTTGTTACAAGTGGCAGCCCACTTGTCCAGTTGTTTTGTTATGGGTTATGTATGTGTATAAATAATATTTAACATCAAAAGAAATGATCATGCTCAGTTTTTTTTTCTTCCCAATCACACTCGCAACATTTATTATCACTTCATCGCACAAACACCTATTGCGATAAAGCTAACACCCTTTATCACTTGCGATAATCTCTTCGCCTCTGCGATAAAGTTTACATGGTGGCTGGCCATGGCGGTGGGCTGTAGGTTGTTGCAGATCTGTTGATCTTCGAATGCTTTGGCTTATTATCCTTGATGGATTTAATCCTTTCCAAAGCTTCCACGACTTCTTTCATTGATGGACGGCTTTTAGGATCTGACCCCAGACATTTCAGAGTGAGCTGAGCTGCCTGCTGTACTGCTTTCATAGATTATTGGCCTTCCAATCGTGGGTCCATTATGTGATACCGCTGGGCTGGCTCCAGGTATGGTGGAGAATCAGAATGCAAAATGAGCCAGTGCTTAGAGACGTTGAAGAACACCTACACTAGTCTCGCAGTCCCAAATTCCCAATATTATTTCAGTATAGACAAACCACCAAACACAAGCCCACATTGGTCATGGTTCAGTAGTGCACTGCGGGTTCTCATCCTCTCAAACCCTTAAACCAAATTTTCATCACCTTTTCTCATTACATCAACACAAATGAACGCAACAGTCTTCACAGTCTCTGGTGGAATATTATGGAACCACCGAATATACAACAATCTCTTGGTTGTCTCTATAACAAACACCATAAGACTCTAGGGGAATATATATACATATGTATATAATTAAACAACCTAATTAAAATGTGCAAATTAACTAGTAACAGAGTAAGTTCCACTTGTATTGCTGCTATCCCCATCTACTGATTCTCTATCTAATCCATCAAAGTAAAATACAGAAGACATGTCAAATGGGTCTGCCCAGCCAATTCCTGAACTGGGCAAGTATGACAGCCCCTTCTATGAATCCTTCTTGGCCTCTGAAACCTCATGATAGATGGTGGACAATCTGTAGGTCCCATCCCCAACCACACATTGCTTTCATCTTGGATGGAAACCGAAGGTATGCGAAGAAGCATAATCTGAAAGAAGGGGATGGACACAGGGCTGGGTTCATATATTATGGGTCTGATGCACGAGAAGATCGAAGGGATGCTCAAGGAAGAGAGTTTCGTGAGAAGTTATGGTGTGAGGGTTCATTTTCTGGGGGGTTTGAAGCTCTTGCACCAACCAGTCAGGATAGCAGCGGAGAAGGCAATGAGAGCCACTGCCAATAACACCAAGTTGTTCGTGCTCTTAATCTGTGTGGCCTATACATCGACGAACGAGATCGTCCATTCTGTCCACCAGTGCTGCAAGGAGAAGCGCAGACCGTCCTAAACTCCAACTCAACTCCTTGTTCTGCAAACAATAAGAATGAATCATGTCACTAAAACAGAATAGAGGCACCTCAGCTTCAACTTTAATGTCCAAAAGCTTCGTTATCAAGATAAAAGAAAATTGTTACTGATGAAGGGAAATTTGGCCCGGCCTCGCGATCGCCCGACACGTGGCAAAGGCAAGCAGCTCGGGACAGTAGAGCACCCAGAGCGAACATCGGAAGCAAGTCCAAGCTCACTACCGAGCCCGAACTCCAGACCGCTGTACTTAGTCCGAGCTCCTTGTTAAGAGCGAGCTCCCTGTCAAAGGCCCGAGCTCCCTAAGTCCGAGCTCCCTACTAGGAGCCCGAGCTCCCTGTTAAGAGCGAGCTCCCTGTTAAGGGTCC